TAGTCAGGGTAAGAACACTAGTCAGCCTGGGAGGAAGAGGAGCAAATCTAGGAAGAGAGTGTGTTACAATTGTGGTAACACTAGCCATTTCATTAAGGATTGTCCCCACCCTAAGAAGACCGAGCATGCTAGTGTAGCTGTTGATAAATGTGACCTTGGTGATATTTTGATGGTTTGTGACCATGTTAATTCTGTGAGAAATTCCCTGTCTGAGCATGAATGGTTGATTGACTCTGGTTGTACCTATCACATGTCCCCCTTTAGAAATTTGTTTTCTACTTATGAATTATGTGATAATGGCTACGTTTCCTTAGCTGATAATAAGAGATGCAATGTGCTTGGTGTTGGTGATATATGTCTGAAATTTTCTTGTGGCTCTGTGTTTACCATTAAGAATGTGAGGCATGTCCCTGATTTGTGTCATAACTTGTTATCTGTTGCTGCTTTGGAGAGTAGTGGGTTACAGGGAAAATGGGGGAATGGTTGTATGAAAATCCTGAAAAACTCGCTTGTTTTGTTTAAAGCTGAGAAGGTGAATAACCTTTATGTGTGTCATGCTAAACCTTTTGCTGAGTCTGTGAATGTTGTATGTTCTGACAAGACCTCTTTGTGGCATAATAGGCTAGGACATATGAGCAATAAGGGTTTAGATGCCATGCGTAGGGCTGGTTATTTTGGTAAGGACTCTGTGACTTCTGTGCCTTTCTGTGAATCATGTGTGTTAGGCAAGCAGCATAGAGTCAGCTTTCCTCCTTCCTCTTACCCTAATCTGTCTAAGTGTTCGTCTGTGCTTGAATATGTTCATGCCGATGTTTGGGGTCCTGCCAGTGTTCCTACCCACGGGGGTAGGAAATACTTCCTTTCTATCATTGATGATTTCTCTAGGAAGGTGTGGGTTTGCCTTTTAGAACACAAGTCTGATGTGTTTGTGAGGTTTAGGGAGTGGAAAATCCTAGTTGAAAACCAAACTGGCAGGAAGGTTAAAACCCTTAGGACCGATAACGGGTTAGAGTTCTGTAATAAGGAGATGGATAAGCTGTGTGTGGATTGTGGGATTAAAAGGCACAAAACTGTGCCTTATACTCCCCAACAGAATGGGATAGCAGAGAGAATGAATAGGTCTCTGTTGGATAAGGTTAGAAGCATGTTAGCTACCTCTGGTTTGTCTAAGAAATTCTGGGGTGAAGCAGTCACTACTGCTGCCTATTTGGTTAATAGGTCCCCGTCTGTCCCTCTTGGTGGTAAATGTCCTGAAACCGTCTTTACCGGTAAGCCTCTTGATCTGTCTAACCTTCAGGTGTTTGGTTGTGCATCGTATGCACACCAACAGGGTGACAAGTTGGATCCTAGGTCTAAGAAGTGTGTCTTCCTAGGTTATCCAGAGGGGGTAAAGGGTTACAGGTTATGGGATAGGAACCAGGTAGGCTTTAAGGTGGTCCTTAGCAGAAATGTGGTGTTCAATGAAACTGATTTTCCTTGCTTGACCGAGTCTGTTTCTAATCTTGAGCCTAGGTCTGATAGTACTCCTAGTGAGGTGTAGTCTGTCCCTGTTGCTGCTAGTCCTTTATCTGTTGATCCTGTTATCTCTGATGATATTGTTATGCATGATTCTGATTCCTCTGAGCATGATAGTCCCACCACCTCGAGTGAGGTGGAGCATTTGCATGATACTGAGCATGATTTGCATGATATGGGTGCTGAATCTGATTTTCATGATAACAATAATTTGCATGAGTTGCATGTGGAGCCTAGTAGTGATAATTTGCATGATTATCAACTTGTTAGAGATAGGAGTAGAAGGGCTATCAGGAGAACTGCTGATAGTATGCCTGATTATGCTTTCATTGTGCATGATACTTCTATGTTTGCATTTTCTGTGTTTGAATCCCTAGAGCTGAATGAACCCAAGACCTACCGTGAAGCCTTAGGTTCCAAAGAGTCTCAGAAATGGATTAGTGCCATGAAAAGTGAGATGGACTCTTTGAGAGTGAACCAGACTTGGACCCTTGTACCTAGACCCCCCAACTGTTCTGTAGTTGAGTGTAAGTGGTTGTTTAAGGTTAAGGAAGAACCTAGTGATGTTAGGTTTAAGGCTAGGTTGGTTGCGAAGGGGTTTACTCAAAAAGAGGGGGTAGATTATGCAGAAATCTTTGCTCCTGTTGTTAAATTCACCACTATTCGTATGATGCTTGCTTTAGTTGCTCACCATGACTGGGAAATGAAACAGATGGATGTAACTACTGCTTTTTTGCATGGTGAATTGGATAAAACAATTTATATGACCCAGCCTGAGGGCTTTGTGGATCCCAAGAGAAGTGAGCATGTCTGTTTGCTTAGGAAGGCTTTGTATGGCCTGAAGCAATCTCCTAGGCAATGGAACATCAAATTTGATAAATGCATGATATCTTTGAAGTTCCAGAAATCTATTTGTGATCATTGCCTGTATTTCAAAAATACTTCTTCTGTGCCTGTATTTTTGTTACTCTATGTGGATGACATGCTGATAATTAGTCCTTCTCTGAATGCTATTAAAGATGTGCAAAGATGTGCGAATTTTGCCATGAAAGACCTTGGTGATGCCAAGAGGATCCTAGGCATAAACATTGTTAGGGATAGGAGTAAGCGTACTCTTACTTTGAATCAGATTTCTTACATAGAAAAAGTTTTGAGTAAATTCAATATGTTATCTGCTTCTCCTGTTAATGTCCCTATGGCATCTCACTTTGTGTTAAGTAAGGACCAGTCTCCCAAGACTGCTCCTGAAATTGAGAAAATGAAATATGTGCCTTATTCCAGCGCAATAGGGTCGGTGATGTATCTTATGGTTAGCACTAGACCTGATATTACATATGCGGTTAGTTGCTTGAGTAGATATATGTCCAACCCTGGTTTGCCCCATTGGAATGCTCTTAAGTGGTTGCTTAGATATCTGATTTCTACTGTGAAGCATGGATTAATTTTCTCTAAATGTGCTAGTGGTATTGAATTGATTGGTTATGTTGATTCTAACTATGCAAATGATAGAGATAACAGGAAGTCGACCACTTCTTATGTTTTTACTTTGTGTGGCTCTTGCATTAGTTGGAAGTCTCAACTACAGCCTATTGTGGCCCTTTCTACCACTGAGTCCGAGTATGTTGCAGCCACAGAAGCGTTTAAGGAAGCCATCTGGCTCAAACGCCTTGTCTCCGAAATTGGGTTTCTCAAAAAGGGAGTTACCATTTTCTCGGATAGCCAATCGGCTATCCAACTTTGCAAAAATCCTGTATTTCATGATAGAACTAAGCATATTGATGTTAGGTTCCATTTCATACGTGATATTGTTGATGCAGGTGGAGTCAAGCTGTGCAAGATCCCATCGGAGTTTAACCCCGCGGATATGGGTACCAAGTGTCTTTCTGCTGAGAAGCACTTGTCCTGTAAACGCGTGTTAAACTTTGACTGTGGATAACTATGGGTTGCCTAATAAAGTGTTTGCCCGTTGTGTCTGTTGATATTCCGGGTGACCCGGCGATGATGAGTCTTGTCACAACTTTGTTTTGTTACTCTACACCACCTAGGACCAATAAGGTGGAGAATGTTGGAGGTATTGGTCCTACCAAGGCCTCTCTTCCACTTTATTTGTTGAGGCTTGCACACTCTATTTTATTCTCCCTTGGATACCTTTTCTTTGGTATATATCCTGATCAAATATATACCTATTTTGAGTAGTTGACTTAATCCACTTGGCTGGCCCCTTCTCTGCTTCCTGTCCGCTGCACTCCTTGTCTATGTATCATGTGAGGATTTTTTGTATAGCTTCACCCGTGACCCATTTGTCTTGGTCTTACATGTGACTTCCTATCTGTCAGCCAGCCTGCTATATAGAAGCCTTGCTTCTCCCTTTGTTGAGCAGCCTGTGTGAGTATTGTATCCCAGAGAACAGAGCTCCCTTTCTTCCTCCTTTGTGTGAGCATAAGATAGGTCCTTAGTGGAGAGAAAAATATGTGTGTGCTATGTGAGAGGGTGTAGAAAGACCCTAAGTGTGGAAACCCTTGTGTGAGCATAAGATAGCCTCCTCCTAAGTGTGGTATGTGAGAGGGTGTAGAAAGACCTGAGCCGGAGACGGAAGAAACGATCCTTACAAAGGTATCGAACGACACTTTAAGTATAAACCATAGACGAACCCTTTCTTGAATAGGGATTAGGGAGGGAGAAATTTCAAATTTTGTGTTTTTGACGAGGCTACCATTATTGTGGCACCAATGCCACACGAGCACATCGCTTTGCCAAAAAACCGCCCGCCACAGGAATGGGCAGCCTCTGTTCTGAACCGGCTGACCATGAAAATTAAGCAGTGTTTGCGGTTGCTTAAAAAAAGCGCTTTTCAGCTTTTGACTTAAAAAAAGCTAAAAAGAGTGTTTTCAAATGACAGCTTCTGCTTAAATTAATCACTTAAAAGCTAAAAGCCGGAAGCAGGTGGAAGGGTGCTTTAAACTGCTTTTCACTTTTTCTATTACACAAAAAGTACTTATTTTACCAACACTACCAACTTTTACTTTTTCAGAATCACTTTTTTCTCAAACACTACCAACTTTTACTATTAATCACTTTTCCCAAAATCACTTTTAAAAATCACTTTTTTAAAGTTGAAGCAATTGCAAACACTCCCTTAGTGCAGCTCAGAACCTATTCTTCTAATTCCAGACTAGTTCCGGACCTCCACAGTCCTGTTTTTTTCATATCTTAAAACCCTTTTAAGTTTTAGATAAAGAAATTTTTACCCCTTTTAAATTACTTCCCTGTGGTTCTAATGAAAAACAATTAGACCGAGACCGGGACCAGCCGGTCACAGTCCTAAAAAGTGAGGCCCAAGACCCATTTTCCATTTCTCGTGTAATATACATGAAAAATTACTTGCGATGATAAGTAGTACTCCGTAGTTTTTTAAAACATCACATTTGGTGTAGTTTAATATGGAGTAATATAAAATATAAAGAATGTTTAACTCTCAAGTGAGATGGATTCGTATGCACTTCTCGTCAAGAAAATTAAGAACAAGCAAAATAGAGATGTACTTACAAAGCTATTTCGAAAATATTAATTACATTATTTGGAAACCATCACAATGAATATCTTTTAACAACTGATACTGGGCAGTCCCAACCATGCTCTTTAAGCCACAATGATGCAGACAAGGCAATAAAAGACTACTTATTAAATCCATTTCTTTAATTAAGTTTTATAAATCCTGAAGGAAATAAAAGGTTGATTGTCTGAGAACACAGAAGGAAGAGTGCAGACACAAATGCAGTTATACGATCTTGTTCAATCAACTGTGGTGACAGGAGAGTACACAAGATTCTGTCACTTGGTTCTTCTAACAAGTGGTCGTAGATCGCGGCTCAGCCCGTGCTTCTTGAGGGTTTTGATGTAATTTCTCATGAGAGTGAACTTGTTGCTCCCGAGATGAAACAAGTAGTCCCATGTAAAGATGCCAGTCTTGTGCATGTCATCAAACAACAACCTCACGCCGTAGTTCCCTATCGGCTCTGTTGTCATCATTCCAACATAGCGCCTCCCACATATCACCTGCACCCATACATCATCATGGTTCTGCGACTCAACGACCCCCCCCCCCCCAAGGCACAAAATTTGGTGTAACATTCGTTCAGGTCAACAAAGATCCATAATAACAAAGAGTGACAATTGGTTAACTGCAAATTTATCATGCAAGAAGAAACAATAATGCAGTGCAGCCTCTTGTTGTTATACCTTTTCACCCCCAACTGAACGGATCTTACTATCAGCTGCTGGGCTATAAATTCTGAGATACTCAGCTGACAAATGATACAGACTACCATTTTCAAACTCCACTTCTACCTGGACGTGAGCCACTTTAATGAATGAATGAGCTTTAAATTTAACACACAAAAGGTGCATATCTAAAATTGTAAAAATCAAAATCTACATAAGATGAGCGAATGATTAACACATTATAACTCCACACTAGAACATATTTTTTTCAAGCAAATAATCCTATTATTTTACCATTAGCATCATCCATAATACAGAAATTGTGCAAACTATAGAGAGAGCAAATAGTCTAAAATCAACTCATTAATGCTGTAATATATTACTCCCTTGGTCCCAAAAAGAGATTGTCTACTTTTATAACAATTGTGTAGAAGGTTTGCCCCTTATACACATACACCCTTGTGCATGAGTGCATCAGGCTTCCCTTTATTAAAATACTTTATTGAGTATTGGTAAGCAAGAGACGAGAGTTGGTTTGGCCAATCAATAGAAATAAACACTAAATAGGATGGACAAAACAGGGCATATGGAGTATATAAAATTGGTGAAATAGCAGGAATTCATATAAACAAGTGAAACAGAACTAGTGCCTATTGCAATTTAACAAAACATTGCAAATCTGTTGAAACATCTTTCATCCCTTTCCCCTAAATATGAAAAAAAACGCAGGCATTTCAGCCATTCAGGTCTATGAAATCTAAACCCCCATGTTAATTACTTGATGGATTTTCACATAATCATTCGTGTGAGCGCTCCAAAATACTCAGGGAATTAGCAAATCTTGCATACCCTTATACACCCCCATTGAAATAAGATTCAAGAAGCAGCAATTTAAAATGCTACAGATATGGATAACTTGATTTGGTGAAAAGATGTCTTAGAAGAATCTCATACATACCATCTTAGGGGGGGTGGAAAGTGAATTTAGTGAGGCGAGGACACTATCGTTCTGTGCACCCAACTCATTTTCATACTCTTGTCTGACCGACTTGGAAACTTTCCTTCCAAAACTGACTGAAAATGTTCATGTCTTGGGACCTTGGAGCCAACATATATTACTGGTCTTTGAAGTTTCGCTAGTAGCCTAGTACACTTTAAATGTATAATCCAACAAAATAGTCATAGAACAGGCCTCTCCGACCACATACCACATACGAGTGACAACTACAACATGGAATCAAACACTTATAGACGGGAGATTAAACAGAAAATGGGAAAAAGAAAAGAGAAAGTGAAACAATCATGAAGAATTTACAGGATGAATGATAAAATCGTGGCATGAAAGCCAATTCAATCTAAGCATTGCATTCATATCATGGTCGAATAAAAGTTGGGCGCACACGTGGCCTGACATGGCGGCCACATCATATTTTTTTCATTTTCTTTTCTCTTTTCTTCTTTTCTCTTCCCTGCCAACCTTCTTCCTCTCCATAGCCGCCGGCATGAACAGTAACCGAAAAAACGGAGGGTGCTCGGAAAATTAAACAAAAAATATGAGGAGGTGCGCCTGTTCACGGCGACCTCCTTTGCATATTTTAATTTTTGTGCCGAGCCCGATGTAGCCGGAAAAAATGCCAGAGGAGTCCAAAAAAAGGATTTTCCTATAGGCTATAAACCAGCCACCAAATCTCGTCCCCAGCTAGTCTCAAAAACTAGGGAGGTCAAAAAAAACCGACCCGCAATGACCCGTCCTGGCCCGAGACATTTGGGGCGGGTCCGCCCCGCCCCGCTCCGCCTATACAATGGGGCGGGTCCGGGTATTAGTATTGTCCGTGCCGCCCCGACCCGCTCAATATATAAGTATACATACTTTTTTTTTAAATTATACTACAAATATAATTCAACATACATATGCGTGTTTACAATAAATCATAAGGAATTTTATCTTATAATATATTAATATATATTAGAATGAGATGAACGACGGATTATCAATATCTTCTTTATATATACGTAGTAGCATTTTAATACATATATTCAATTATTGATATAATTAAATAGATTAACTATTCAAGTTTGAGTAATTTTTTCTTAATTTTTGAAATTTTTAGCGTATCATGAATTTTATTCAATTAGGATACAACGGGGCGGGGCAGGTCATGGGTCAACAAGTTTGGACCCGTGCAGATCATAGGGCTGGTCCGGGTCTTGGAATACCCGCCCCGCCCCGATCCATTGCCATGCCTACAACAACAACAACAACATCCAAGCCTTAGTCCACATTTGAGTTATGAGCAATAATCGATCTTTGAATAAATAGTGTGTGTTGTCCTTGCCGGTCGTTGTCGAAGAAAAATGGGAGAAAGTGAGAAATAATGAAAGACCGAGCTTGAGTTTTTTTTTATGAAGGGAGATGAGGGGGTTGGAGTTTTTTTTTGCAGGGGAGATGAGGGGCTGGAGGTTGAAGAAGAAGAGTAGGAAAGGGGAAACAGGGAGAGAGAAAAGAAAGGGAAGGAAAAGAAAGGAAAGAAAAAGAAAAATGAAAAGAAAAGAAAAAGAAAAAGAAAAGAAAAAATGATGTGGCTTGCCATGTGTGCATCGTGTCAGACCACGCAGGCGCCACGTCACCAGGTAACCTGCTGACCGAGCGGGTTACCTGCTAAAAGTCGGGTTTGACAAAAATAACAAAGTAGGAGGACTTAGGGTCTGTTTGCAACAGTTTCTGCTTTTAAAAAAGTGCTTTTTAATGAAATGGGGAGAAGTGATTAAATAAAAGTTGATAATGTTTGAGAAAAAAGTGATTTTGAAAAGTAAAAGTGGGTAGTGTTTGGTAAAATAAGTGCTTTTTGTGTAATAGAAAAAGTAAAAACACTTTTGACGTGGAAGCCGAGAAAAATAAAAGTTGTAGTGTTTGGGAAAATAAGTGCTTTTTTAAAGCCAAAAGCTGAGAAGTGCTTTTTTAAAAGGAGTTGCAAACCAACCCTTAATTGATGAAACTTAAAGTACGGGGGCTTAATTGACTTTCCGTACAGAGTACGCGGGCCAATTTGACACTTTCTTTTCTTTTTTAAAAACCAAGGGATAATCTTTTAATCGAAAACTGAGAGTGATACGTGTACATACATATTTTGAGTGTTTTTACCACATATTATTAGGTGAGAACGTTATATTATGGGGTAATTTGAGTTTGCACCCCATTTTATTGTAGAAATTGGACTTTGCACCTCGTTTTTTAGAATCTTTGTTTTTGCACCCCAACCCATATGAAAAGACAAAAATGCCCCTATTAACAATTGAGGGGCATTTTGTCTTTTTATACGGGAGTGGGGGTGCAAAAACAAAGAATTTAAAAAACGAGGTGCAAAGTTTGAGAAGAAATTGGGGATGAATATAAGTTGATTTGCATAAAATAGAAGCTCATTTGGGGAGAAGAGAAATTGATGTCTGGAGAATAGAAGTTGATGTGCGTAAGTAGAGGGGGCTGATGCGCGTAGAAAAGGGAGCAGATGGCGTGGGAGAGGATAAAATTGGAATAATAATCCCATTTCGGGAATAAAATTATAGCTACTCCTATTTGGGAATTGCAGCAACAATTTAATCCTATTTAGAGCAATAACTCTTGGAATATTATTTTATGTGATAAGGAATATCGTTCAAGTATTACGTAAGGTAGCTTGGAATATCATTCCATACGCTCATGCTCGCTCAGGATGATCTAAAAGTGTATGAGAAAATGCCTGATGGCTTTTAAGGACATTTTAAAACTTGACTTTGATTTGAACTACCGAGTCTATTGTTAATAGCTTGATCAAGAGTTGTTGAGATCATTAAAAGTTGTGATCATGAAACAGCCGTTACTTCCATTTTGCATGCGTTTATATTGTTGTTCTTATTCCAGAACAATAGTGCGCTGCTCAATCTCTCTATGACCATACGTACAAATCATAAAGAAAAACGCAAGAAGAAGAAAACACTCGCTCCATTTTTTCTCTACTCATTTTGCTACTCCAAGTGTTGATTGGTTTTGAGTGAATGAAAACCAAAGTTCTATGGGTAGTTTTTATTCTTTCATTTGAAGCACATTTCTTTTAAGACAATTTGGACAACGGTAGGATGTTTCAGTCAAGTAGTTACAAGTCTAAAAAAATTAGCAGAATGACTTTTGTTCAAGGTGGTAAAAAAATTCTGCAAAGCAATCAAATCAAATTGAGAAAGTCTTCATTTCCTAAAAAAAAAATTACTTTTGTTCCTAAATTACAAATGAGGTATCTTTATTCTCTAATCTTTAATGAGAGGAGAGAATGACTTTTGTTCAAGGTGGTAAAAAAATTCTGCCTTAGTCCACTTCGGCAGTTCCCCTATAAGGGCTATAACTTCGGCCAAAGCCGCCGTGAAGCTCAGAAAGCGGATTCAGTATAGGTCACCGTGAAGCCCAACCAGGTATCCCCCAAGCTATTATCTTAATTCAAAACCAGTTTCACTGTAAATTTAAGTTCTTATACGCTTTTTATGCATTTGGTAGAACTGATTTTTTATTCGTTTTCTGCATTTTGGTAAAAACGGGTTTGTTTATTGCTTGAAATTTCTGGAGTCCAACATGTTCTTATCATTCTACAATTTCTTGAACCAGATATCCATTTCTGTATGTTCTGTTGTGCTAGTGAATAGTAGATTCTCCCATACATATACATGAACAATCTCTATGGAATAACAATTGAATGCATTTGTCTCCGCAGTTTGTAGACTTGCTTCATTATTCTTCTACTCAATAATAATCGTCAAGATTTCTTTCTATCTTTCTTTCTTTTACTCAAAGTTTTTTTAGCTTTTGTTTTTTACTTTGTATTTCTAGGAATAGTAGCTAGGCGTAATTCCCTGTAACAAAATATAGCCTGACTCGTAATTATAGGCCTTCTGTAACTTACATGTTGAACATAAAGTGGTTTCAGTGAATGTTGTGTTAATTTAATTAGTTCAAAATGTGGGATTTTTGTTCATTAGTCTTCCCAATGAAAACTGTAAAGTTAAGAGCCCGTTTGGTGACCCCTTTTTCCGCTTATCAGGCTTATTAGCCAGCTTTTTCACCAAACACATAACTATTGATTTACTTTTCTGAATTTTGTAATAAGCAGACAAAGTAAGGTTGGAGTTACTTTTCTGGTTGTATTGGATGAAGTTACTGTAGAAGATCATTTTAGCTATTTTTTCATATAATTTTTCAATTAATTTAGTAATAACAAATATTTTAGATTTTTTTTTTCATGAATCAGCAAAATCAGCCAATACAGCCACTTCAGCCAGAAGTTCATAAATTTCAGCAGAATCAGTTAGTTCAGCCAATTTTAGTGTTACCAAATGGGCTCTAAGACAGCGTTTATGACTTAGAAATGATGAATTGTCATAGTACTATAGATATTTACTGTTTGCATATGAGAAGGGACATTTTTTGCTTCTTAGCATTTGCACTCTGTAGCAATACATTTAACAATATTTACGCTTCGAATTATGAAAGTAATTTTTGAATTAATAGTCAGTTCATCAAGGAAAAATCTGTTTGTACCCACTATTGTACCCATTTTTGTACCCACCATGTCTGTGAGGAGTTTTTTTTTTGTCTGTGAATCCCCGTCATAGACAAAAATATGTCTATGAAGACATGGTGGGTACAAAAGTGGGTACAATAGTGGGTACAACAAGAAGAATCCGTTCATCAAACCCCAAAGGTTAGCCTAATATAGGCCAAGGATCGGTTCACCTGCGATGGAACTTAGGCTACCAGCAAATATCCCTTGGATGGACTGACCATAAGAAAGAAATGTTATTAAAGAAAGAATAGGTGAAAGAAGTTGAGAGAGAGAGCAAAGTGGTTTCACCACCCCTGGCTTTACTACAGGTGAGGATGAATTTTAATAACATAAAGTTTTGTTGTTGTGAACCACTACGTAGCCATCATCGCTGGTTGTTGATATTTATAGCTCTCTCTTCACATTTTAAGGACACAACAAAACACTCACTACTAATGCAAATTATAACGCATTTTTCAGATACAGAAGCTAATCAAATGTTATCCAGCATTGCCAAGATTCAGCTTGTGAGTTCGCATCCTGAAGTATATGAACCATGTGATGATTCATTTGCATTGGTGGATGCATTACTGACCGACGAGGCTAACTTGTCAGATCACCGACCCACATTTTGCATGGAAGTTGGATGTGGCAGTGGATACGTTATTACATCTCTAGCACTCATTCTACTACGATATGATGTATTAGCCTCTAAGCCCCCCTCATATTATATTGCAACTGACATCAATCCTCATGCGGTGAGGGTGACTTGTGAGACGGCGGATGCCCATAATGTTGATGTTGAGTGTATAAATACTGATATTGCATCAGGATTAGAAACGCGTTTGGCTGGGTTAGTGGATGTTTTGGTTGTGAACCCACCTTATGTTCCCACCCCTGAAGAGGAAGTTGGTCGTGAAGGAATCACCTCTGCTTGGGCTGGAGGTGAAAATGGTGTAAGTGTCATCAATAAGATTTTGCCTGTTGCTGATAAGCTTCTGTCTGAGAGGGGCTGGCTGTATTTGCTCACACTTGCCGCTAATAACCCCTCAGGAATATGCCTTCAAATGAGAAAGAAGGGTTATGCATCAAGAGTCATTCTTAAGAGATCCACTGAAGAAGAGAGCCTTCATGTTATCAAATTCTGGCGGGATGCCTCTAACTAACTGCTCTATGGGGCGAAAGATTAGATTAATGATGAAAAATGGTCAAAGAATGAAATGTAAACAATGCATTGGTGAAGTTCAAATTCTCCAGAATATTGCTACCCAGGTGATGTCACAAGTCACGGCTGCAATGCATTCTCTAACTAGCAATGCTTTCAAGGTGTGTAGATGTGTGTTTTGTTTAAGACACTCACAGAGAAGTGTGGTGTGTGTAAGCACTATCTATTCGGATTCTTTTGATGCTATGCAGGCTTGGTTTGTAATCAAAGTCACTCATACATGATGAGGGTTGATCTCCTTAGATTGTGTTTGGGAGTTGGGTTTTGGAGGGGAGAGGAAGGTTGATGGGGATTTATGACTCTGCTTTTCATGTTTGGAGGTTTAAAAAATTGGAGGAGATGGTTTGGGAGGGCTTTTGTAACCCTTCAAAAGTCTCTAAATACTCAATTTTTAAGTTTCCCCAATTTGGATGATTTTGGAGGGTAATTAACAAGATGATAATTTAAGCTCAAATAAAAATGAATATTAGTTCAATTATTTGAATTCTTCATATATATCTCAAAGTGATTGTAATTATAATTCCTTAAAAAAAACCTCCTTCCAATTTAATTATTCCCAAATAGGCTAAAGGGTCAAATAGGCCCATTAACTGACTTAAAGTGTTCAATTAGTCCCTTATATAAGAGGTTCTGTCCGACCGTCGCTAATTGGGACGGTTCCCGGTGGAATTTTTTGATTAAATTTTTTGAGCATCTTCATCGTTAAGTCTAGTTTACTCATACCAAATTTCAGCTAAAAATTCAACCGGGAAGACAGTCAAATAATTTTCCTAAATGTACTGCGCTGTTTAATTTCGCAGTTATCTTCAAAAAATCATTTGACTGCCTTCCCGGTTGAATTTTTTGCTGAAATTTGGTATGAGTAAACTAGACTTAATGAAGAAGATGCTTATAAAATTTTATCAAAAAATTTGACTGCAAATTGGTTTTTTGATTTCCTGTTTATGTTGTAGAGAAGAATAAAGGATTTCGGTGGCCTTGGTTGAAAACATAAGTCAGTAGCCACCTGTTAGCTTTCGGTAGGCTACCAGAGTACCGGTGTTAGATTTTCAGAAGGCTGCCGAATTAAGAAGGATTTTACTCTTTCAATTGTTTTTTTTTTTTTGTTTATTTTGACCACTCTTTTTCAGCACATATTGTAGCACACAAAACAATAAACAAGATTAAAGTTACAGCTCAAGTGATATTTAAGTCTAATACATGATAAAGAAAGGGAATGTAATCATCAAAACCTTAAGGGAAAAGGTGCAATAGGCCCATGTACTAACAAAAAAAGGTCAAATAAGCCCTTGTTTAGGAGGCTTTGCCCGGCCGTCGTCATTTGGGGTGGTTCCCGGTGGAAGTTTTTGATGAAATTAATTGAGCATCTTATTCATCAAGTCTAGTTTACTCATACCAAATTTCAGCTAAAACTTCAATCGGGAAGACATTCAAATGAATTTTTGAAGATAACTGCGCTTCTAACTGTGCAGTTATTTTCAAGAATTCATTTGAATGTCTTCCATATTGAAGTTTTAGCTGAAATTTGGTATGAGTAAACTAGACTTAATGAGTAATATGCTAAAAAAAATTCATCAAAAAATTCCACCGGGAACCACCCCAAATGGCGACGACCGGACAGAACCTCTTAAATAAGGACTTATTTGACCTTTTTTGGTTAGTACAGGGGTCTATTTGCACCTTTTCCCAAACCGTAATAATCAAAATTTGGAGGACCTGACACATTCTGTCATCCAAATACATGCATTTACCCAACCCAAATACCCAATACTCCCTCCGTCCCTAAATTATCTTCAAACTTTCCTTTTTGGTCCGTCCCTAAATTATCTCCTCTTTCCCTTTTTGGCAAAGGATTTGTGGTTCACAACAATTCTTACACATTTCTCTCTCTTCTGCACAACTCTCCACCACACAAAACCCACTATCTTAATCCCCGTGCCGGGTCAAAATGGGAGGTAAATTAGGGACGGAGGGAGTAATAAACACCGCCCAACTGTGGCTATTGCCAACTCGGCCAATAACCATCGCCAAATATTACTGCTAGTACGTGACTAATGCTGCTCACCAAACAACACATCGTATTACTCAAGCAATATGAGCAAAAGCGGACAAAAAAGACAGAAGAAAAAATGAAGGATCTATATTTTCCTTTTGACTATATTTTTACTGATTAGTACTACATATTAATATAAAATATCACTATATAATACTAATTATTATTTAAAAAAATGGGGCCCCATTGATTACTAGAACCGGTTTATCCTATTCAATAATTCATCTTAAAAAGGGGATTCATTTATTTTCGTATATAATTTGTCACTTTTTTATCCAAAACAAGTAAAAGTTACTATTATTTTTACCAATTCGATATTTTTGTCATTATTCTTTTATTCTTTCGTTTTTTTCTCGAAGACAACACATTCGCTCACCAAGCTCCATTAAAGTGTTTACAAAAGAATAAAAAATAGTGCGCCAACTCAGATGGTGCGGTGGTCTTCGTGCATTAGTAATTGTACATACAGTTCAAGAGCGTGGTTGATCACTTTTTCCAATTCTGACGCTACTGCGCTACATTGCTCCAAATTAAATATTATTTTAAGTAATTTTTTGTCTCAACATAATGGTCATTCCAAGACATTAGTATATATTTTGTACTAACAATTCATATTTATCCCTATGAAATCCTCCGACATTAAATACTATATTATGGAAATGTAAACATGCAAATTCGATGGTACATTTAAGCCATCATATTATGTCAATATGAGCCAATAAGAATATTATGATTAAATAATTCGAATATAAATAAATGATGAAATATTAATTGGAGAAAATGGAAACTAATAATCCAACCTTTTAGCAGTCTTCTTACAATAGTCACACTTTTTCGTTATTCAAAAATAATCCAACCTTTGCACTCCATCTTCATTCGTTGATCCCTGACCGGCTATGAAGCACGGATACTTCCCTAGGGTAGCGTATCGGCGTATCGGATACGTTCCCGTATCCGATACTCTAGGATACCCGTACCGTACGTTCCCGGGCCGTATCTGCAATTTTTAAAAGTTTCCATTTTTTTTTGTAATTTTTTAAAAGTTTCCGATACTCGTATCCTGACGGATACGCGTATCAACCATTTTTTTAAAAAAAATCCCAAAATTTACTTAATAAAATTCCAAAAAAAACGAAAAATCTAAAACTACATTTTACTTGGTAATCAAATAATGGGCCTATATGGCTATATCCGAATTAAGTCATTAACTCATACTCCGAAGTGGGTACTTGCACTTTTAATTTCAAGATTGTAGTTGTTTGACTTATTTCACATTTTAAATTAATGACTTATTGACTACATTTATATTTTGAGATACACTAGTGTATATGAGAAATATTATGAATTTATTACTAAGTATTTTGAAAAAGGAAAATGCTTCAATGCAATGAATGAGTAGACATCATAGGATATTATATGTATATGTATATATATATATATATTCAAAAAAAAATCTATTTTTAATATTTATAAATAGACCCCTATAACTTTTAATATTTGTAAATACACCCTCATAACTTTTAATATTTATAAATATGGCCCCGTATCCGTATCCTACTTTTTTTGGTTTTGACGTATCCCCGTACCCGTTTCCGCGTTTCCGCGTACCGGTATCGGTGCTACATAGCTGACCGGTTAATGACCTGCTATTCCAAGTTTTTTTCTTATTTTTGCAAAATATTGTCTTTGTGAAAGGTAAGATTTATGGTATAATGGTTTGCAAAGATAAGAAAATAACTTAGAATAGCAGGTCATAAACCGATCAGGGACCGGTGAATGAAGATGAGGTGCAAAGGTTAGATTATTCATGAATAATGAAAAGGTGGGACTATTGTAAGAGATCGCTAAAAGGTTGGATTATTAGTTTCCATTTTCTCATATTAATTTATAATGATCAAATGCAACATAAACCTTCACTTTTTTAATGAGTAACATAACATACAACATAAATAAAAAAGCATTTGATGCTAACCTTTTGGAGTATAAAAGCGTTCTACCTATGCTCTTGATTTGTCAATATACTCGTATAATGCACAGTACAACGTAGTCGAGTAGAGTACATTTGGATTTTGGAGTAATAACATGGTTCTACCTATGTTCCTTCAGTTTTATTTTAATTTCTACTCTTATATACGGGGTAATAATTTAAAATTATTTTTTTTAGGGAAAATGGAAACTAATAATCCAACCTTTTAGCGGTCTTCTTACAATAATCCAACCTTTGGGTTATTCATGAATAATCCAACCTTTGCACCTCATCTTCATTCACTGGTCCCTGACCGGTTGATGACCTGCCATTCCAAGTTATTTTCTTATCTTTGCAAATCATTATACCATAAATCTCATCTTTCACAAAGATAAAATTTTGCAAAGATAAGAAAATAACTTGGAATAGTAAGTCATTAACCGTTCAGGGACCAGTGAATGAAGATGAGGGACAAATGTTGGATTATTCATGAATAATCAAAAGGTGGGATTATTGAAAGAAGACTGCTAAAAGGTTGGATTATTAGTTTCCATTTTCCCTTTTTTTATGTGAATTAGTGGAACTTCTAGGCTTCTAGCGTAGTTGCTAAATACATTAGATTTCTAAATACAGAGTATATATCTGATCAAGGAAGAGTTTGTGGTAAAGAAATTCCAAAATAAAAGTGCTGATTCAATTAATAAGAGTGAAATTAATTTGAAAGTTTATAATAATAATAGTGCTATATTTTTCCTTCCATAAAATTAAGGCGAAATTCAAATGAATAATCCTTACTTTTTGGGATTCTATAATAATAATTTGTACTAAGAGTGTTCATAAAATAATTCAAATTGGCAATAATGTTCACAAGAATAAATTGGGGTGAATTATTCAAACTAATGTCCGTTTAATAATACTACCAATCCTTACTCCTATTTTTCCTTTCTCCGCTATTCTTCTCGGAGTAAATTCAGACTAAAAACCGTTTAATCTCATGTCATTTCCGCCATATGTGGTCATTTTTAGGTTGAAAGATAGAAGTATTATCTGAGATGAAGAGTGGTGTAGGAGAAGTGGAAGTAGGAGTTGAGAGTATTAAAAGGGCAATAGTTTGAATTCACCACAACTTGTTCATATGAACATTATTGCTTGTTTAGATTATTTTTATGAATACTCTCAGTAGGGATTATGATTGTAGAATCCATAAAAATATGGATTATTTGTATGAATTTCGCCTAAAATCAATCACTAACATGTATGATTATATTGCAAAATACTACCCCCCCCCCTCGTCCCATTTTACATGTCCTACTTTCCTTTTTGGGTTGTCCCAAAATAAGTGTCCTTTTTTAAAGAATTATGTGGTCTACACCATTTCACTATATTATGCTCAAACCCCAATCACAACTATTTTTACTTTTTCATTCACTTCATTAATAATCGTGTCAAGTCAAACTGAAACACATAAAATGGGACGGAGGTTGTA